TTTTTTTTGTCACATTTGTTGCTTTTTTTTCATTCTACTTCTTGCGGAAAATCCCGCGGTTGTATTAATCATGAACAACCGGCGCAGGTCAACTCTGCGATCACAAACCTGAATTAAGTGCTTGGTGCGGGACCGTAAGATTGAGTTATTTCGTGGGCTCTATAGACTTTTGGCTTTCTTCTTGCATTGTTTGCCACCTCCTTCTCTTGAAGAATTCAGTCTTTCCCATCAAGAACAAGTAAATGCATAGTCACTCGAGAAGATTGAGCATTTGGAACCTTATTCACAACATTGACTGATTTGGGTGGTCTCCTTGTGGTTAGCTGATCCCGCTCATAGTTGTTGAAGTACTGCATGAACTATAATGGAAACCGGAAAAAGAGCAAAAATTTCCCGACTTTCATGAGAAATCTTTAATCGTATTTCGATTTATTCACCTAATTCTACTTGTCGTTTCTTTTTTAAGGGACATTCACGATGATTATGATGTTGGATGTAACGGGTACTCCATGGACTACCGGATAAAAGAACAACAACGGTTAGTTAGTCGCGATGTTTTTCTAGGTTTCACGCTTTACAGGACTTCTGCCTATTTTTAGTGCATTCTCTCTTCTCATGTATTGATATTTGCAGAGATTAAAAAATAGCTATTGTGGGTGAAACATGTTTATACTCATGACGCTCTCTGCTGCCCTTGTGACTTTTTCCGTGGTTCAAAGCATAATCCGTTGTGTACTCACGTCGCCATGCGTTGCTTTTTATCCTCAGTGCCTCTCCAATGATTTAATGTTTATATGTTTCCATTTTGAACCTTTTTTTCGAACAAACACGAACAATTCGAAAATAGCCCTACATGCCCCTCAATGACTTGTTCATAGGGCTAACTGGTGCTGTTAGTAACTGAGTGAGAGAGCTGCTACTAGTGTGGGCACTATATATGACCTTTTACGTATTTCTTGTAGAATTCTTCAAAGTGTTCGGAGTGAACTGATCGATTCGTCCTCTAAGCTCAAAGAGGTGAATGTCGTCTATGAGGAACTCAACAAGAAGATTCCCGAAAAACGTTAGTACCGATGTCTGCGATTTCGAACGAACGTTTTCTATCGTCTCGTCTATTGGCTGCTGGTTTCAGAGTCTGAGTTGACCACTGTATTGGATGAAATTGAAAGCGCGAGGCGAACACTGAAGGAACTTCAGGATCGACGTAATGTGCGGATTTTTCTTCCACACCGACCTCTGTATCCGAGGGTCGTTGAGAACTCCAATCCTTCTCAAGCTCCTCCCTTGACCTCTTCAACTTTTACTTGGGAAAGTGCCATTGATTATAGGTAAGGCCTTCACTATTCTCCTTCTAAATATGGCTTATATTGTCACATTTGATATTAGTTATGTCTTTCATTTTCCAGTCGATGCTCCATATCCTCTTTTATGCCTTTGTATGTATATCCATTGTCCAAGCCAAATGCTCAGCTCGAAGAATTGAAAATGCAACTTTTATCACAAGGAAATATTGTTTCTAATCCAAACATAGCATGTTTATTGGTTGGTTTGTTTACTTCCACATTATTTTTTGTCTCGAACCGAATTGAATCGAAAGATACTTGGCGATGCCTGGTCTCTATCATGAGTATCGCGTGGTTTCATCAAGAAATGAAGCGGTGACCTTTCAGGTGATTCTTACTAATGAAGAAATTGATATTTCCTCCATGAACATTCGGAATGGAGGCCGCAATCATGTCATTATTAACGTTGGGAAACCGTTCTATCCTAAAAGTCTTCCGCTTATAATGGTACAACAACACGATCCTCCTTTTGAGAGGTGAGATTCTTTGCTTGCTGTTCTTATTTGTCCTTCGATTTTTTGTTTCCAGTTTCATTAGTCTTGCTCGAACCCTGTTTTCTTCTTTACGTGGTTTCCAATTATACAATTATACTTTATTGTCAAACTCTGGGTGAAATTATGGAAAATGCGGCTGGATATTGTGCCAGTCGTAAGTTCTAAGATCGAGATCGGTCGTGGCAACGTGCTTATTGTGGGTCTGATGCGGTTCTGATCAAAAGCGACCTCAGAGCTTGCTCTTTGTTGTAGCATTCCCGACTTTATGCAGTACTTAATAATTTGCGCTATTGAACATACAAAAATCCGAGAAATAGACTTCATTCGTCATCATTGTTATTCGTTGTCTCCGTCCCGTCTTTACCTTTTCCTAGGATTCGAGAAGCAGCGAAAGTGTATCTATACCTCTACTTCTTATTTGCAACTACGTTCCTGAAAACTACTAGGAACGATCCGCAGCGTGCTTTCGACTTTTCACATCACAGGTTGCTCGGCTGGCCATGCTGTCGGTTCAACAGGCTTGTCTTGCACGAGGCTTGGCCTCTATACCTTAGAATTGGAAGATCTCCTTATTGAAATGTGTGGATATTGAAGTCCTTCGATTTCTGAACTGTCAGATCGTGGTTGCCGCCTTTTCCACTTTTCTTTTTATAAAGCTCACCTATACACCGTAGCGTAAAAATGTTTTACCCTCAACAATGTTCTTAAAAGTTATTTTACATACTGTTTCCTACAGATCTCTTGACTACAATGTATTCCTGGAAATGCCTCGGTATGATGCTTCTTCCTGGAAACTACTGAAGCCTATATTGCCATTATCACGAAAGGTTAGCTATTTAGAGACGTTATTACCCGTTTTGTAGCATTTCAATCATTCA